TCTTCTACATTTGGAAAATGCTGTGCCCAGGGTCTGCCCATATCCTCACCCCTGTGTGAGGTGACAGTAAGCATGCATAGCCACCAAGCCTCCCAGCAGAGTGTCTTCCCACAGTTCTCAAAAAGACATGGAAACAGCAGTAATGGTGGGAAATGGTTTATATAACTGACTCACGTGTCCTCTTTAGACAGGTCAAGTGCCCTGGCTGCTAAAGTCTATTCTAGACTTAGGTACACTTTGTATAATAGTAAACTATTTTAGATTTAAGTCAATCCATCATGTTTTAGAGGTTCTGTGTTAAAAATCTGTAACAAGTGGTAAATACTCATTAATTCATTTTATTTTTTAAATTCCAGAATATTTTAACACCTTTACTATTACCTCCCTCACTCTATACTGCAGGACAATCCTTAATATTCCAATAAATATTTGAAAAAATAGAAAAAAAAATCTTGAATTATTTGAAGCATTGATGCCTTCCTCTGAAGTGTCAATATCTCCAGTATTGATGATATCTTACCTTCCAGAACTTTTATTATTTCAATTCCTCTTTCTTACCTGTCCTACATATTGTCTCATATGTAATCTTACCTATTCTTCCATTCACCCCTTCATTCAACACATATTTATCAAGCATTCACAATATTCAATCAATGAATATTTACTTAGTACCTCTTTTATGCACCAGGCACTGGGATATAAAGATAAATAAGGTATGATCTAACCTTCTAGGAATTCAAAGTCTTAGAAAGGAAAACAGACATGTATATATTTCACTGCAACAAAACTTTAATACTACAAATAGGCTGCAACTAAGTACTTTAGGAGTGGGCAGAGGAATTGGTACACCAGAGAAAGCCTTATAGGAAAGACATTTATTTGAGTTTAGTCTTGTGGGATACATAAGAGTTTTTTAGGAGGAGACAGGAAACACAGGCATTCCAGGCACAGAGGACACCGAATGAGCAAAGAGGCACGGAAGCATGAGAACATAAGGCCATCACAAGAACGGAGAGCGGTTGACTGTGAACACAGGTTCAGATACACACAAGGGAGGTGGGGGCTATGGGGAAGATCAGACTACACATGCCTCCCTTTATAAGCTAATCATGGTGGGCTTTAACTTGTGAGCAGCCAAGAGTCAACAGAACTTTTGTGCAGCTGAGAAACCAGCACAATTTGTTTGAAAGAAATGTCAGTTTTAGTAACAGTGGGGACAGTGTACTAAATTAGAAATAAAGTAGGAACAGATCAGTATAGTCTGCTGGGTGGGAAGCAGTGGTACCCATGTAGCTGTGAGACAATGAGCAAAGACAAGGATGAAACAGAAAAGGCAGATTCAAAAGACATTTCTGAGACAGAATCTACAGAATTGGGCAAGTAATTGTGTCCTAGCATACTTCAGAAAATTCTTGGAAAAACATAATTAATAATATGAATGCTTCCATGAACTTTTTGAAGACTGATCGTATTTATGTTTGTGTGCATTTGTTCTGTGGACATGGGTGGCAGGAGCTGAGGATATGTCCTATTTCCCATTTTTTGCTTGTTGGCTGATTGGTTGGTTTCTTAGAGAAGACTGGGCATGCTGATGATATTCACTAAGAAAAAACCCAGGAAGGAAAGCAGGTTGGCGGGTGAGGGTGGAGGGAAAGGATAAGACAGTGAGTTCTCTTTTTAGACATCTTCAGTGTGAAGTAACGTGCAGTGATGCTACACGGAGATGACCAACAGCCAGTAGGAGACATGAAAACGAAGCTCAAGGACAGGGCTGTTGGATGGAGACACAGAATATGGAGCCACAAATAGATGATGACACAGGAAGGAAGGAGGACAAAAGTAAAAACCTGAGAAACAAACTTTCAAGAGATGAGCAGGAACAAGAATATGGTGATAAAAGAACCAAGTGATGGGGTCTTAAAACCCATGGCAGGAATGGCTTGAAGAAAGCAAATATGCTGAGCAATATCAAATGTTTTATCTCATTACAACCTGTGGAGTTTATATTCTTCTACCCATTTTACCAATGAGAAAAACAATGCCCAGAATGGTTGCTGACTATTGGAGTTCACATACCAGGAAGCAGCAGAGATGAAATGTGAACCTGCTATCTAGGTCCAAAGCCAATATTATTTTTGTTCTAAAACCACTGCCTCTTCACGGTATCTCCACTGTCTCTTTACTGCTATCCACGGTAGCTTCATTTGATGTCCTAAAAGCTCCAGTTTCTCAATTTACCGTAAATTAAAGGTAGATATGCTCCCTACTCAGGATTACTGGTTTCCACACCCATAACCCATTTCTCCCCTTCCTCATTCTGCCATAGGTCTGTGCTTTATTAACCTAGTCTGATTCTTACCTACAACCAGCCTGCCAATTCCTGCCACTTCCTCTGATTGACGTATGCCCTCCACTGTTTCCTACAATTCGTGGTCCTGACCACCTTCAAGAAACAACATTTACTGAACTTATCTTCCCCACTGATGAACTCTCACAATTAATAATATTATATTATTCTGTGCTCCCTTGGTATTATTCATAGGCATGAACAAAGAGTTTTGTTTTCTTGCTTAATAAAAAAATTTCAAATATGTCTATTCTTTCTTCTAAATAAACCTAAAAGCTCTTCAAGGGAAGATATGGCTTTCAGGACTCAATTTTTAACACTACATGTTAAATGAGGATACACTACATGTTAAATGAGGATAAGAATTGGGGTAGGGACGTAATGTTAATAAGTGTGGATGTGGCTTGGCTTACATAGGTTCAAGGACAAAAAGTAGACTAAGCACCAAGTGCAAGTAAGGTAACTGGCAATTCAAACAATAAATGTGAAATGATATATAGGGTACAAGTGGCCAAAGGGATGCCATCTATAGGACACTGAAGATTTTACAGAAAACAGCTCATTGGCCAGTTTTTAATTTTGCTTTCTCAGAATAAATACATTTTAAACAACTATGTGAATAAATTGTACTTTTACAAAATTGATCAATGCCTATACTTTTATTATTATAAAATACATAAATTAAAAGTGTGTCAAATAAAATAGTATTGATCTTTAAGACTTCTCCTCAAGTGTATATTCTAGAAAATGTGTTCTAGTATTACAGTTGGGCAATGAAGTCCTCTGCATCTTAGTTAATGGCCAAGACACAGTTCCAGTGCTAACAGTATCTAAGGGCAACACAACATAAACCCTGGCTGGTTTCTAAATCTACATTTCAAGGATAGAATGAAATCAGTGAAACTAAAAAGAAACTCATATAAACATCTCTTACCAGCCATCATATAATAGGCAGTTATTTCTTTTGGAAATCAGACATGAAAACGAATCACAGAACTTTTCTTTCATGATTTCCATACTACTTAAAACACACACAAATATTCTCGGATTTCTATTTGTGGTTTTGAACTCCCAAGTTCTTCCTTATTTTAAATAAAAATGAACTGAACACCTATCCCCATGAAATAAGCACAGAGTGGCCTAGTTGAAAAGACTCCATAACTGGCTCTTTCTGTTTGAAGGTTCACAGATAAAGTCATAGAATTTCTCACTTTGGACAAACACTGGAAAATACACAAGAGGCAGAAATATAAGACATTACAGATGTCATATCCTGCACAGAATCTTGAGAAGGGCTAACACTATCCTTAGATATAGTATTTAAACAGTATGAGGAGACATAAAATGAGTTATGTATATCTTAGTAACATTAACTGAGACCTTGCAATACACCTGATAATGAGCTAATCTCATTTACTCCTCACAACAACCCTTTGAGGCCTGTATATATGCCAGACACAAGGAAACTTAGAGAGAAATTACTAAGTGCCAAAGTCACATAACTGTGGATGTCAGTGCCAGAATTAAACGCCAGAGAGCGTGATTCCTAGACCCCAATTCTTCATCTGATGAGTTCTCTTGAGGGCTACCTACTTTCTCCAGGGTAAATATTTTTTCCAGTAAAAGTTAAAATAGTATAATGCCATATTCTGTAATGGGAAATGGGAATTTAGAACTTCCATATTTCAGAAAAGTTACCTAAATGGAGAATATTCATCAAAACTAACATAAATGCAGGGGAAAAAACAAACAAACTACAATGCTTTAAAATTAACTGTACCCTGCAATGTACCTAAGGGAGAAATTTCATATCCAATGCTCATTAAATAAGCTTTGCTATCACCAGAGACTATTTATTATCAAGTTTTGCTAATGCATCCCTAATTCAAATAAGTAATATAACAGATTTCTGAAAAGTTGTCTAAATATTTAGGGTATGAAGTAGCATACTAATGAGTTATAAGCTAATAGTCTTGAAGTAATTTTGTTACCTAAACTTGCTAATTTACTCTGAGTAAATATAAAGTTATTAATATAAACCTATAATATAAATATATTGTATATTTTTATTTAATCCTTTGGCCATGCTTATTTTCATACTTCAAAGTTCACAAATAAAACATTCAGGAAAAAAAAAAAAAAGACCATTACCAAAGCACTCTTCAACATAAAGCAACCATAGAATTCCATCCTTTACAATATCATTTACATATGTCTAAGAAACAAAGGCCCATTGGAAACTATATATATCAGCAATCTAGAAAGCTTCTTCAAATTATTATTCTATGAATTTTTCAGGTTCACCATTCATAAGAAGGTTCTATCAGGAATTAGGAAGCAATTATTAAACTAAGTTACTTAAAAGCAAATACACCAGCTGTTCAGCATTTTCAGTATAGTAACCTTCCTGGTAAGAATAGAATTTAGAGCATTTAGTACATATTTAATTCTACTCTGAAATTCAAATAGCTTTTATAAACAAGAGGAACACTAATAAAGGAATATGCAGAGGAAGACACCCTTAAAATCTTTTTTTTTTTTTAATTTCACACAGAACAAAAGACTAAAGAATAGCAGGAGGAAATTGAACCATGGTGGCTAAAAGCATCAATAAACATTTCTTTTATACATACCACTTGAAAAATTTCCTTACCATATACTCCATATTAGAAGCAGTTGGGTACACCTGACTTCGTAACTTATTATGAAGGTCCAAGATACTCTGCATGTCATTGTCTGTGATGGCCCTTTTCCCTCTTTGTTTGGCCGTCCACCACTCACCATCCTCATCCACGTACTTTTCCAAAAGTTTCTCCAATAAAGTGGCATTAGGAACCACCATGGCTGGAATTGCTCTAGCCATAAATAGCACTGTGGTTACTCTGAGCCACTCCCGCGCGGTACACTTCATAATGAATGACCTCAGGATTTCCCCGGGAAAATCTCCAAGACAGGCTCTTCCACTCCTTTTGGCTATAAAGACAGGTCATGTGATTAAGATGAAAATACCAGCAGGTACTAATTTTCTAATAACAAAAACAAAACAAGAGTTACAAAGGCAGTGTGCCAGTTTGATCCGTCTATGCAACGCCAGCAAATGGACACCCACTTTTTGAAATAACTTATCTCCAATCCATTTTTTCTTCCAGAGGATTTTTCAAAATGCATTGTTTCCACAAAATAGATAACTATATTTTCCAAGATAATATCCATGAAGTCAAAAATTAATGGCAAAAGTAGCCCAGAAAAGTCAAAGTTTGAAAATAATGTCTGAAGTACAAGACTTTGAACGATTACATACGAGGGTACTTCAAAAAGTTCGCGGAAAAATAGAATTAAAAACTGACACAAATCTTTCCATAAACTTTTGAAGTACCCTCGTGTTACCTGTAGCCTGCAAAGGGCATTATCTATCTAGAATGTTCTATTTCCCTCTAGATGTCCATGTTTCTCTACAGAGAGTTTTAAGGTAGTATTTTTTATTTGAGGTACAATTTTATTCCAGTGTCCCATCTCTGGTTCACAGACATTCATAATGTCCACAACATTCTGAAACTGAGGGTGAATGTTTTAAAGAATTATAAAATGCATGCATCCGTGTGTACATCTAGGGATCCCAGTGAACTACTACGAATGAATGGCTGGGGTCACTGAGGGCAGTCTCCTGTTATCCAGGCGAGGGTCAGAACTTAATCATTATTTCCTGGAAAGTCTGCTCCTAACCTCTGGCCCGAGAAAGCCAGCAGCTAGCTCCCCGACAACTTGAAAGCTTTTTCTCCCATCCACCGCTGGCGCACACTCTCCACTCAACCCAAATGGAAAGCGCGCGGCAGAGGAGGTGAAACCTACAAAGTTACTTACAAGAACAAGGTCCCGCTCATCTCCACCAGGGCTGCTTTCCGAACACCCCACCTCCCCCAGGCCTCACCAAGCTACCAGTTGGCTTTTTTTTTTTTTTTTGAAGTAGGGTTGAAACAGAGAAAGGGAGATAGGAAAAGGTGTCGGCTTGACCACTCAGCGCTGCGTTTTGGAAACGCCCTTACCTCTCCAGTGTGATGTTCCCTAGGAGAGCTGAGCCGAAAGGGAGGGCCGGCCTCCGCAGCCGCCTCAGCCTTCACACGCGACCGCAGAGAGCCCCCCTCGGGACAGAGCCAGGCACGGCGTGTCCGTGGCGACGAGGGCGCTGCCTGCAGGGGGATGCAAGCTTCGGCGGCTCCTTCCAGACCTGGAGAGAAGCGGCCAGCAAGGCGTTCCAAAGTTACACCGTGGAGTTGCTGCGGGCGGGGAGCTGCCTCCTCAGCTCGCCAGGGTGGGCGCCCGAGCGTCTCTGACCACTAACTGCAGGAGCGCTGGGCGGGGACACGAGCGGGGCTCTGCGGCGACGGCTGGCGGCGACCTCGCGCTCCTGCCGGGTAAAGCAGCGGCGCACAGAACCGGGCGCCGAGCGCTTCCGCCGCTCCCTAGCGCTCGCGGGTATTTATTGCGGGCCCTGCGCGCGCACGTGACGTGAGCGCCGCTCCTCGCCCACCCCGCCTCCACTCCGCCTGGCCCGAGGCCCGCGGGAGCGGCTGGGGGCCTCCCGCCTTGCTTCCCCCTACGCAGCGGGGCCAGCGCGCTCGGCCTCCGGGGCTGCGTTTTCGGCTTCAGAGACAGGGGCGGGGAAGGCCTGGACCCCGTGGGAGGTGTGTGCAAGGAGGGCCTCTAACTCCTCCCTCCCCACAGCTCCCCTCTCTCAAAGATCCTGCTGCTGGCTCCTTTCTGTTGAGCCGCTGAAATGCCTGTAACCGCCTTAAAGAAAGGAGCGGCCCCGGAGAGCACGGGGTGGGGGTGGGGATGCGGTTAACACCTTCAATCATGGAAACGGGGGCAGGATGGAGAAAGAAGGGCCTTTCCCTTTATCTTCTCCCGGGGTCCGTGTCTGTTTGCAGGAACTAGTGTCCAGAATGGAGAAGTGGTTCTCTTTGGCTCCGTGAAACCTTGATAAGGATCAGATGGGGAAGGGGGTTCATAGAATGATGGAGCATTCTGTGAATTGGGATTGCCTGACAGTTGAGAGCCCCCACTTCACCCATAAAGTATGAGACATTGTCTTCTCAAGGTGACCACAGCACTTTTTGTTTCCCCCGATGATGCTTACCTTGATGGGGGTGATATAAAGGATACCCTTAGTTAATGTATCAGTGCTATTTTGACAGAATTCAAACTCCAGCGTTAGGATAGACAGTGAGTGGTGAGAGTAGGTCTCCTGATGTCCATGTTGTAAACTGGAGTAGGAAAATTACTAATTTTAAATTCAAAAATCTCACCCTTCTGAGTGTGGTGCTTCTCCTTAAAGGCACGTTTTTCATTTAAAAAGCATTTATTTCATTTACCTCTGCTTCCCTTCCGTAGTGAATCATAATCTCAATTTTATTTTATTTTATTTTATTTTCTGTTTTAAAATGCTCGAGTATCTAGCATATGCTCAAGTAAAGTAAAGCATTCTGGTGGTAACTCAAATCATCCCCAACTACTACCTGTCTCTTTCCACCATGCAACTACATTGTATTTAATAAACCTAAAAACTCGGACCTAAGCCTACGGTGAATGAGAACTTGCTTCCTTCCAGAAAGGAGAAAAGGGAAGCATCATCTACCAGAAGGGTGTAAAAGGTGAAAAATTTGGGTGCACATCAGACTTTTATAGAAGATGTAATTTTGCAATTTTTATAGCAGTTTAAGCACATGAAAAAATACTAAGTTTGTAATTTTCAAATAGTTATTCATAATTCTCATGCACAGCGTTCCAGAGAAATGGTTTTCCTCCTAGAAACTGATAGAAGACTCCCAAAGTTCATGATAAAAGAACTATCATTTGTGACAGCAAATGAAGAACATGTTTCTATGCTGCAATTTTAATGTGGTACTGAAAAGCATACCGAGTATCAAGTTAAAAAAACCATTGAAAGTAATAACATCATTTGAAACATTTTCAAAAAATTTAAATTGGGAAGAAGGGAATTATGATAAGTAAAGTTAAATGCATTGATAACTCTTGAATATTTCAGTTATAAACCTTTCTACACAATGTACAAATCCAATACCTAAAGGCTTACATTAAAGAAAATAAAATTTGGTTTAAAGGTTTTAATTCCAAACCTTTCTATGTATGTACTTTTACTCAGTGTTTCTATTGGTTTCCAATTTGGGTACTGCAGGTATTATTTTAATATAAAAGAATTATTTAGACATACACCATGTTAAGCATTAACATTTTAATAATACTTCTTGTCATTCTTGACTCAGTATATATGTTGGAAATGCCATTTTGAAGAGTAAAATTAAACACAGTATTCTTGAATACTCAAAGATGATACTGTTCACATTTTTATTTGTTGTTGATAAATATTGTGTAGACAGAAGAAAATTTCTTCTCCACACAGAATTTATGTGAAAGAGGCATTCTGGTTTGTGGCTAAGGCTGTTACTTGAAAAGCCATGGTTGTTTTTAGCATTACTACTTTCTTGTGGCAGACACTGTTGGTTGTCTAACCAAGAATCAGCCTTCCACCCCTTTCTTCCTTCCAAGCCCATAGCCTCCAATTTACTGGGGGAGTCCACCCTCTCACATGCTGTCAAACTGGAGGTGACTGTTGATTAGTCAAAGCCGGTCATTACAATCTATCCCAGCTACCAGTGACTGTTTTAGAATGGACATGCTGTGCAGCCCTGGCTACTGAAAGAAAGGAAGTCTACTTGGGAATGAGGAAGAGGGTGGCAAGGGTTTTATCTTATGATAAAAAGCAAAAAGAGAAAAATACTTCTTTAGGTGCTAATGTTTAGATTTGTAAATTTAAACATGCAGCTGTTATGTGCAGTGACAAGCCTAAGGGCAGAGACCTATCATCCTAGCCCAGCAAAAAGGCAGACAGTGCCCAAGTATCCCTGCCATTGACCAATCATTGGAACACCTACCCTCTTTTTCTTGTTATAGGACATAAAAGGATTAAGTCACGTTGACTTAGTAGGAATTACTCAGTAAGGGTTCAGTTCTTATTACTATGACAACTGAACTGGGGGCTTTATATTTGTTATTTTATAAACTTAGTGGGTTTTCATCAAAGTATTGTGCAGTTTAAAAATTTAACTTTTAAATAGAAGTAACTAGCTATAAACATGATAAAAAACAATCTATGATATTTTTGGCAATCTGTAGTGAATTTCTTCTCACAGCTGAAATAGTATTCAATTCTGTTTAGCATAGGACATAGTTTTTATTCTTATCCAAAGCAGCCATTTGTCTCTGACTCAAGATCTGAAGATATATGAATATATACATAAATAAATTATGTAGTCTTTCAAATTGCTCTATTTTTAATAATATTTAGGACATCTATATTATATGACAAAATTTTAATGAATAATACATATAATCTTTCTACTCTAGTTATTGATTATTAAAACTTTATTATTGTAATGTTACATATATGCATTAAATGCAAAACTCTTAAGAATACTTCAATGAAATTTTCCAAAGTTAACACACCTGTGTGAAAACCACTCAGCTTCAGTGGAGAACACAACCATCTCTCTAGAATCCTCCCTTGTGACTTCGCCCTAATACATTCTCCCTAAAAACAACTAATATTCTGATTTCTTATCTCAAATTAGTTTTGCCTGTTTTTATCACGTAAATGAACACAACAAGTAGATGATTTCATTGTCTCGCTTCTTTTGTGTCTGATTTCTCTTATTCAATACATCTGTGACATTTATCCATGTTGTATATAGCAGTAATTAGTTCTTTCTCTTTGATGAACATACCACAATTTATTTATTCATTCTGTTGTCAAATATTAAGGGTGTGTCCAATTTAGGACTATTAAAAACAATGCTGATAAGAACATTCTTACACAGGTCTTTTCGTGCACATATTTACACTTTTTTTCTTATTGATTATATAGCTAGGAGTACAACTGTAGGGTCCTAGGATATGCTGATGTACAACTTGAGTAGGTAAACTGGGCTGTATACCTTGTTCTTATTAAGTCATAGGAATTTTTTAAGTGTTGGATATACGACCTTTTTAGATATAAAGTATATTGTAAATTTCTTATTCCTCTCTTTTCTTTGCCTTTTTCACTCTCTTAATTGTGTCTCTTGATGATCCCAATGTCTTAATTTTAATGAATTCCAATTTATGAGTCTTTTGCTTTATGGCTAGTGCTGTGTGTGACCTGTTGGAGAACTGTTTGCCTATCCCAAAGTTGTGAAGAAAAGTCTCCTATGTTGTCTTCTAGCTTTATTATTTTGCATTTTGCAATAAGATCTTTGATCCATCTGAAGTGGATTTTTCTGTTATGGTGTGAAGAAGGAGTAAATTAAGATTGCAGAGATTATATAAAAAGCCAGCATTTCTTTTAGTCATCACCATAAAACTGTTCATGAATTTGTTCTAGAGAAAGTTCAAATTTCAGAATTAATAAATAGAAAAATTTAATTGTCCTTTAAATTTAAAATTATTACAGTGCTTCAACTGGATTAAAAATATAAATCCTGAGACCCACATTAATGCCATATCTTAGAAACTGAGCCTATTTCTTGTTGTATAAGAAAGTAATTATTTTAAGCTTATTTTTAGATTTGCAGAGGATCTATTGGATCGTTCATTTGTTGTTTGACTGACCTTCAACCACTAAATGCAGTGATTCATTTTTGTCATCATCTTCTACCAGCCATGCTGCCTTATTTGTATCTGAAAAAAAAATTTTTCTGTAATTTCTGTTCATGCTCCTGTGCCTTTCTTGATACTATTTTCACTACTTGAAGTCTCTTCTGTTCATTCTTTTCTGAATATCCACACCCTAACCATTCCCATCCACAGAGGTTTTTGCTCATCTAGCCAGACTTTCTCTCTATTTCACTTTCCTCTAAATCTTATCACTTTCTGTTTTGTAAATTATAGCTTTTCATATATTTGCCATATTTTTCCAAAACGCTAAAAGCTCCTTGAGAAAAGAGATCATGTTTATGTGAACTTTGTATTATTTACAATGTACATTAAATTAACAAATGAATTTGGGTTTTTAAAATATTGTGTATTTCTTAGAAAAGTACACATGTCCCTGAATGTAGAAGCCAATGGGCAGGAGAAGAGAATCCACAAAACAAACAAGGCACACCATGCTAGAGATGATGTTCACCTGGAGATTTTCCTTTTGAGGAAAAGCATATTGCATCAAATATTTACATCACAAATATGCTATAGAGAAGACAGGAAATTCAGATTATTTTAAAAGTGAAAACTGGGCAAGGCATAACTGCTCTGTAAAATATCTCCAGACCCACTACCATTATCAGTTTTTCAGTGTTTAAGCAGTTTGAGTACTGCCCTAAGCCATTCATTGAAATTAAAATTATGTATGTAAACTTTTCTTTAAAAAAAAAAAAAAGGAAATGTAATT